CAGTCTCAATTCAAATATAAATATTTAAATGTTTCAAAATGAAGTTTACATAATAAGAAGCTACATAAAATATGGTAAAAATTACACGGGCGCCTTATTTGGTCGTCCTCATTTAACCTATACCCATATTTTAAAAATTCTTTAACCTATACCCTAATTTTGACAACTTGACTCCTCTTCTTACTCCTGACGTATGCGCTCCTTACTTCCTCCTCTTCTTTTCCTCTTCTTCTTTTCTCTCTCAAACACATGAGACTTTGTATAAGTATTATTGATTGGATCTGTAAAGTTTTATTAAATCTTATCAACTACCATATTCTATGTTGAAGGACTAGTAAATAAAACTCCACAAGCTGGTTAAAGTAGGTGTGATTTGTGTCTTTCCCTGGTCCATCCTTCTTAAACATACAACAACAACTGACTACTACATGTCCTCTCTTCCAAGTTACCTCCACAAAAATGGCACATGCATGTGAAATTTATTATACACAATAGCTGCCCTCGCGATCTCTTGGAATTAGCTTACCCCTTGCTTTATGATATGATCTGCAGGAAAAACGACAGAAAATGGCTGCAGAACTGAAAAATAAAAGATAGGAAAAATAACTTCAGAACATTATCAAAAAATCAGTTAAAACTTCAGCACAATTTAGCTTAAGTTATATTTTAAAGCCATCTAACTTCAAAAAAAGGCAGAACACAACTTCAGCTTTAAGACTGTTGAAGTTTAGCAAATATAAAACAAAAACTTCAGCTCCTAGAATGCTGAAGTTCAGCAAATACAAAACAAAACTTCAGCTCCTAAAATGTTGAAGTTCAGCAATTACAAAACAAAACTTCAGCTCCTAGAATGCTGAAGTTCAGCAATTACAAAACAAAACTTCACCTCCTAGAATGTTGAAGTTCAACAATTACAAAACAAAACTTCACCTCCTAGAATGTTGAAGTTCAACAATTACAAAACAAAAATTTCAGCCAAAACATGTTGTAGTTTTATTGAATTGAAGTTTGCCATTGCACTATGAACTGAAGTTTGCGTGATTGCCTTTGCAAGTCAGGCCAAACTTCAGGCTATCTGAAGTTTTGCTTTGATAAGGCTACACTTCAGGCAAAACATTCTGAAGTTCAAACTTCAGACATAAATTTTTGCTACTTCAGGGCCGTATGTGTGAAGTTACCCGAAAAGTGGGTACGCTTGTAATTTTTTTTATAAAGCGGGTATAAGTTAAAATGTGACCCAAAAATTAGGTATAGATGTAAATCCCCCTAAAATATATTACTACTTACTATAAATTATAATTTTGGGCTATGTGGGCCTCTATTTCCTCAATGTAAAGTAAAAATAACACGGGCTAGCCAGTTTTCGGACTGGTAATTGAAAAATAGTCAACGTTTGTAAAGTCATTGAAAAATAGCTACTATTTTGCTGTAATACGGACCGGTCCAGCATAATATACTGGAGATTGGTACACATGTATATAAACTTCAAACATATTATGCTGGAACTCCAACACGCGGAAAGTTACAACATAATATACTGGAGATTGGAGCACATATTTGTGAACTTCCAGCATATTATACTGGACCGGTATATTATACTGGAATTCCAATATATTATGCTGGAATATTTTCCGAATTTTGAACATTATTTTCGTTCAGATTTATCTTTACATGAAAAGTGGCTAAAATTCGATTACTTTTGAAATTGTGGCTATTTTTCAATTACCACTTGTAAATCGCCTATTTTTGAATTTCTCCCCAATGCAAAACACTTCAATTGTTTGGGGTAAAATCGGAAAATGGCCAAAAATGCCCTTGAACTATTTGAAATAGCTCGAAAATGCCATCCGTTTGTTTTTAGTACCAAAAATATCCCTTCCCTCTATATTTTGGACCACAAATGCCTTTAAACCGTTAGTCTTGCCATTTAAGGTGACATGGCAGTCCAACTAGGTAAGATTTGCTTACATGGTCATCCACCTAAGCAATCTAGCATGGCAAAATTATTTTTACGGAAAAAATATTTTTTCTAAAATTTTAAAAAAATGCAAAATCAACACTTATTCTGAAAAAAGTAAAAAAAAATCCGGACGGAAAAAAAAACATTTCGAAATTTTTTTACTTTTTTCGGAATAAGTCCTGATTTTGTATTTTAATAAAAAATTCCGAAATAAATAATATTTCCGAAAATTATTTACTTTTTTCAGAATAAGTGTTGATTTTGTATTTTAATAAAAATTTTCGAAATAAATATGTTTTTCAGAAATTTTTTTCTTTTTTCGGAATAAGTGTTGATTTTGTATTTTAATAAAAATTTTCGAAATAAATATGTTTTTCAGAAATTTTTTTCTTTTTTCGGAATAAGTGTTGATTTTGTATTTTAATAAAAATTTTCGAAATAAATAATTTTTCTGGAATTTTTTTACTTCTTTCAGAATAAGTGTTGATTTTGCATTTTTAAAAATTTCAGAAAAAATAATTTTTCCGCAAAAATAATTTTGTCATGCTAGATTGTTTAGGTGGATGGCCATGTAAGCAAATCTTACCCAGTTGGACTGACATGTCTCCTTCAATGGCAAGACTAACGGTTTAAAGGCATTTGTGGTCCAAAATATAGACGGCAAGGATATTTTTGGTACCTAAAACAAACAGAAGGCATTTTTGAGTTATTTCAAATAATTCAAGGGCCATTTTCCGGGGTAAAATCCCCTTTATGTTAACTTTTTCATTGCTACAGCCTTCAATAGTAAGCTTTAGTTTCTACTAATTTATTTATTTATTTATTTATTTTTGCATTTTTAAAAAACTTTCAAATCAGCGTCAGCAGGATTAACTGCTCGAAAACATCAAACATGATACCAAAGGTAAAATTGAGAGGAAAACTTACATATACAAAAATATACTAGAGCGAAAGAAAAAGAAGCAACAATGTCCATTTTTAATAATAATAAGAAGAAAAAGGCAGAAAATTTCACTTTATACAAGATCAAATGTAAAAGGTACAACATTCTATACAAATAGAGAAATTATTATTGGATTTTTAAGCTTAAATGTAGCTTAAAATTATTGAGTTTTTAAGCTTAAATGTAACTTAAAAGAGGGTGAATGGGAAATGGAGTGAAATTGAAAATATTTGAGTTTCCCTCCTTGACAAAGGGATATTGTCCCATATTGGAAGAGAAAAAGATTTTGATGGGTATATATACAATTGCGGTTCTTCTAACTCTTAAAGAGTTAAGAAGAAGGCAAGCCTCGCGCCGCCGCCGTCGTCCCTCGGCTACGGCTTCGGTTTTTGGCCCAAATTTATTTGTTAATAGTAAATATTAACAGAGTTGTTATTAAATATCCGATTTTTTGTAAACGGAATATTAATATTAAATCCAAACGTAATAGTATATGCCCTTCGCTTTTTGTAAAAGACATTTACAAAACAGTTTGCACCTCTTCGGATTTGAAGAACAATTTGCACCTCTTCAGATTTGAAGAAATAGTTGGCACCTCTTCGAATTTGAAGAGTTGCACCTCTTAAGTTTGAGCTCAACATTGACTATAAATATCAGTCCATTCTCTCAGATTTTCCATACGAATTTCTGACTTCTCCTCCTATCTTCTGCATTGTTTTAACTACAAACAAAGCAACAGTAAGTGTGATTTGCTACCGATCTTTGTGTTCGCTGAAACACTAGTGTTTGAAGTATCGCTACACCAGTGTGTAATTCGTTCTATCCTGGGAGAAAATAATCCACAACCTTGAGTACTAGGAGGGGATTAAATTCCTTAAAGAAACACTGTGAATTCAATGAGCTCGGATTAAATTCTGTTTCGTTTATATTTCTATTTATATGTTATTTTATCTTCTCCAGAATTATTTTACATATACAGTTCAATAACAATTATTTCTGTTATTTGGGACAACCACGAAAGAAAAGTCCAGTATTTTGAGAAACGAAAAATAAATTGAGAATTTTATAACCCGAATGTTTGCTTTTAGTTACAACTTTGCTCAGTTGACAGTGGAGGCTGCCATTCTGCTCACCGTCAAACTTGTAACTTTTTTTGTTTTACAACTGTGATCTTAAACGTATACCTCAAACTAATTTACCGGACACTTGTTACCTTCCACTAGCACAGGTATCGAAGAGCTTTACCTATCAAGGCTTAGACAGTGTTTTTTATCTCGCTGAAATTTGAACCTTGGTCTCCTGTTGTCATTTTCATTTCATTGTCAACTATACCACACTCTTAGGTGCGGCATAAAACTGGCAACCTGAACCCTAGTCCAGAATCCAGGTTGGACCACACTGTGGATGACAACCAAGTAAAGATATCTTAAATTTCATGTAATGCTACACATCGTCAATCCAAGCATCCTTCCCAATCAATATGAAACCCTAAAAAAGATAATCATCTAAGTACAGATGACACATGTTTCATTTCCTAACAAGAAAACAGCATGAACAGAGATTGGTAAATCAGAGCCATTTCAAATTTGTCAATCTGAAACACAGGTTAACCAATAAAAAAAAAGGAAAAAGAATGACAAAGCCAAAGAAAATAGACAACCAACTAGAAGAAAACAGCAATACTGGGGCAAGGCAATGTCATCGACTCTAACCGGTCAACCAGCCATAGCCGAAACCCTACAAATATACTGAACCAGCAACAATGTGGTGGTTCATAGGTAGTTTCACTGACCCAAAAACCAAAAATTAAAGTTAAATATAATCAACTCAATGAACCGAACCTTAGCTTCATTGAAATCCTATACAAGGCATGATAAGCATTGACCACAATGCTTGTCTACGTGTGCATACACAACATTATAACCAACAACAAAAATGTAAACTTCTACTTTTGATACTAGACCTCAGGATTAACCAAACGACCGTTTGGAGCACAGCAAAAGAAGGAACTGCTGCACCTGCACTTGGCATCTTTTTAGTAATAAAATACCGGGTTAACAGCCAATTGAGAGGAGACAGGAGGGCATGCAAAGACTGTAAATTGCATGTGGCATCCACAACCTAAGAAAACCAATTTTCTTGTTATCATTGTTATAATACCAAACTTATCCTTTGTTGCAATGTATTATTAAGACAAATCCAAAAAGGAAAAGCTTACTAGACTAGTAGATGAAAAGTTATCACTATGGACTGAGAAGCTAACTAGAAATATCCTTTGACAGAACATAAGATAAATTCTGCACGGGAAGAGGGTATCACACAGATTTCATTGTCTGCAGAGACAACTCAAATTGGAGCTGCACATGTCGTTCTGAAGTGGCCAGTCTGATTGCAGCGGCTACAATGCACAACCCGCTTCACCCTACCACGGTCTTCTGCTCTAACTCTCTTCTTCCTTGGCCTGCCAGGAGGACGAAGTGACTTAGGTGGGTTTATAACAAGCTCCTCAGCATTTGGATCTCCCTCTGACAACTCCTTCCATAATGATTTATCTGGAATAGGATGTATAGTTTGGGAATATGTCTTCCGATACGTTGCAACAGTAAAGCAACTCTCAGTAAACCGGTGGACATTTTGCCGGCAAGAAAGTAGTGCTGCCACAGCATGTGCACAGGGCAAACCATAGAGTTGCCAGCCCCGACAAAGGCAGCAACGATTCCGAATATCAACAATATTGGTACCCTCATGAGATATCACTTCAAACTCAGCTTCATTAGCACGAAGAACCTGATAAGTCCGGGCACGCTCAAGAGCATCTGCAACTCGCATCTCCGCTGTAGGCACCAGGATTGACGTCCACTGCATACTGGTCTCTCTTCGTTCATTGAACCAAGTCATAAGCTGCCTCCTGATGCATTCCATCATCTGAATTATTGGAAGTCCAGAGGCCTCTAGAATCCAATTATTCAATTGTTCCACTATGTTAGCAGTCAAATGACCAAACCTTGTGCCCTCAAAATAAGCTGTGGCCCACAATCGTGGAGGAATCCGCCGAATCCAATACGCAGCATCCTGTGATATTTCCTCAATCTCGAGAATTTTTGCTTCGAACTCAATTACTGTAAGAGCATGTGCGGCCTCCCACAACAGGTTAACAAGCATTGTATTGTTGAATTCCTTACGGAAGCTTTCACTCAAATGACGCATGCAAAAACCATGGAAAGCAGTGGGAAAATTTGCTTCAACACCATCTACAATGCCCTTCTGCCTGTCAGACAATATGGTAAGTCTTGGCATGTTTTCAGTATTGACCTCTAGCAAGGTATGAAGTTCAGAGAGAAACCACATCCAGTTATCATCATTTTCCTCATCAACAACACCAAATGCTAGCGGAAAAAGGCCGCCATCTCCATCAAAGCCAGTAGCTAAAAGTAAAGTACCAAGATATTTACTTTTCAAGAACGTCCGATCAAGCCCAAGAAGAGGGCGACAAGCATTTAGAAAACCAAAAATAGAAGCCTGAAATGATATAAAAAGCCGCTGAAAGCAATTATCAGCAGGATTTGCGTAAACTGATGCTATACTCCCTGGATTGGTCCTTTTAACTTGTTCACAGTACTGAGGAAGAAGGCGATAACCTTCTTCAAAGGAACCGCGCATAGCAGCCATTATTCGTTCCTTTCCACGCCAAGCTTGTTTGTACGACAGGGTGATTCCATGAGTCCGGTGAATTTCTTCAAGGATCTCTTTTGGCTTGCAATTTGGGTTTTCCCGAAGCCGTTGCTCCACAGAGTTGGCCACCCACTGAACTGAGGCTTGCTGGTGGCCAAGATGAGCGATTCCTCCACATGTATGGTTGTCATGAATTGTTCTGATAGTGAATGTGGGTACACCTGGAAGTTTGGCAGCATGAATGCGCCAAGGGCAGCCCTCACTGGCACACTTAGCAGTAAAACGAGTTTTATCAGATTTTATGGTCTGAATCTCGAAGTGAAGAGCAATGGCTGTGTCACGTAAAGCCCTTCGGCAGCTTTTGACATCAGGGAATTCTTGTCCCACATGTAGCTCATAATCAGGTGTTGCTGAAATAGTTCGGGCCTGAATGACAGGGCCTGACGAAGCAAGAACCATCTGGCCATCATGGACTTCAAATACATGTTCAGGTTGTTCAACTCCCATATCATGGCTCTCAACCACAGCTAATTCCATGTTATCACCAAGCTCTTGGTTTTCCTCGATGCCTAACTCATCTTGTTCAGAAATATCTAACTCATTGTTTTCATCAGGCAACTCCTGGTTTTCATGCTCAGGCTTCCGCTCCATTGGTAAACCATTCTCGTTCTCATACTCATGCTCGTGGTTCCCGTCATGATCTTGGCTCTGCCCTATACCCATCTCGTGCTCATCGTTATGGTTCTCTGCTAGTTCCAATCCATGGTTCTGGCTTATACCCATATCATGAGAATGGTCAAACACTATTTGCTGGTTCTGATCACCAACACCTAAATTGTGATTTTGGCCAAGGATCAACTCATGGTTCGCCATTTATCTTTGCAAAAGTACCTACACTTCAATCAATAGGCTGTTCTGTCACCTGTTCTACCAATCTGAGAAATATGGGGACACCAATCTTTGCAAATGTACCAAGAAAAGATAAACTCTTCTCTCACTTGATGAAGTATCAACTCACGACTAACAAATATCACTAATTTTTACTTCAGCTGATTTCACCAAGGCCTGCTTCAAAGTGTAAATGATTCATGATTTAGCTAATTGAACCAGAGAGTATGCAGGGAGAAGTAAACACAGTTACCTAAACCTATTATCAGAATTCAAAACCAGAAAAATAAAAAAAGATAGGACAAATAAAAACCAAAAGTTAAAGGAATACAATCTGACCTGCTCCCAGCACTATATTAGTCCAAAGCACTGATCAAACTCCGTGAAATAGCAGCTCCTTTCAGCTACAAGAATGAATTAAAACCAACAAGGCTCAATATAATTGAGCTGTACAAATCCCTAAAACAAACAATAGAGTAAAAGAGATAGTCCCAACAATCTATTTATCACAACATCAAAAACCACAAACCAAACTAGTAGCAGGAACCCAATAAAAACCAAACTCACCATCAATTAAGAGAGAGCCAAAAGTCAAAAGACTAGCTCTTTGAAATCAAGATCGAGACTTTGTCGAGCAGCCCTAAAACCCAAGTGAACTAAAACTCAAAGATTCCAGCTTTTTCAATCAAAACACCAAGAAAACACAAAACCCATCAGAACCCATCTCAGATTTCACCAAAATTGATCCAAATGAGAAAAAAAAGGATCGAAATAGGGTTCCAAATTGAAATCCAAGAAAAGGGTCTGAGAAATATTTGAATATGGCGGGTAAAAGGGGTAGGCTGAGAGAGAAGGAGAGAAAGGGGAAAATCGGAAAAGAGGAGTAAGGGCAAGGAAGGGAATGGAAGGAGGCTGGAGAAATAGAGGGAATGAGGGGCAAAAGGGATTTGAGGGTTGCGAGGGTTGTGTTGGGTATTACAGCCTTATGGGCTTACCTTGAGAACGATGGGTATTTAGGTCATAATGGGGCACCCCTTTTCTCCTTTCCCGTTTCGTACTTACCATACTACCCCTTTTTCTCTTTTTCTATTTTCCCTATTTTCTTGTTTTTGTCCCTACATCTTCAAAAAGGGACATAATCCATTGGGTTTAAAATATTTTAAACTTTTGTCTGTTGAAATAAGGACTTTATCTTTGTCTGCACTAGTTTTTAGGTACGCTTATCTAGATTAGTGAGTCTAGACTTTTCCAAAAAACTAGTTTTTGGATATTTATCTATCTCGATGAATATAAAATTTTAGAAAATTATATAAATATTATATTTGAATTTGAGTTTGAGTTATAAAATTAAAATTAACAAAAGCTTAAGTTTGTACAAGTTGTTGATCCTAATTAGCTAACTTCAACGAACGAAGAAACTCTCAAGACCAAAACACATTTTTTCTATTTTTATGATCAAGGAGATATATTATATGAATTATTTCAAACATATTAAAAAAGACTAAATTACTATTACAAAATGTATTATTCAACCACTACATTTTGATTAATCTACTATTTCTTTATTTTGGAGGGAACTTTTTTTTTTGTCCAAGCACACAACCATGCATCCGAATATTTTCTTTTATGGAAGTAAGAATCTAAGATTGTAATGAAATTAATTAACGTTAGTAGATTCTAAAAGAACCATGTCAATCTATGAGCCAAAAATATGGTGCTTATGTTAAAAAAAAAATTCTAAACTTTGCACGAAATCGTTACACACCTAAATAAAGTATAGTCTTAGTTACCCTCGAAGTTGGCTATTTGATTGTTACTCCGGAATGGTAATGTGATAAAGAGTGTGGATACATACACTCTCCTTTAGGCGCGTGAAAGTGAAAAAAATTAAAAAATCAAATTGCTGATGTAATATTTTTCAATTGTTAATATAATTATTTATTTATTACAATATAATTATGTATTTATTCTTAATTCATCTAATATACAACATATTTTATCTAGTTTTGTATTTTTAATTTCTTTTTTAGATTTAATGGCTATTTGATCCAATTGTATATTTTATTTTATTTTCGGATCAAATTTATTTAAAAAATTTAAACCGAATTCCAACACATTAGCATAAAAATGGTTTAGCTAAAATAATAAAATACCAATTGTGTATTATTTATTATTTTTTTATATGCAAATAACTATCTATCTTAATTGTGTATTTTTATTTTTGGGTCAAATCAATAAAAAAAAAATTAGCTAGAACTTTATTATTTTCTTGCTTAATTAAAAAGATATGGCCAAAATAACGGAGTTGTAATAATTTTTAGAAATTCACAACATATTTGAAATTCTTAAAGCCATCTACTATGTTGTTTAAGAAAATAGAATAATTATTATAATATTTATTTTTTAAATTATTTTTGACAGGCACACACATTTTTGTATCCCATTCAAAAAATTATTTTCTCAAAACTTGGATAACGACTTCTACAGTCATTTAAGTCGTATTGTTTTGGAAGATATTAAAAAACTTAAGTAATAATTCTTACAAAAAAAAATTTAAATAAGGAAAGAATTTATATTTATATATAAGTAAAATCTTAATCGATATTAAATTCCTAAGTATTAAGAGTTTTTACCTAACTCAAATAAGGAAAGTTTTAATAGTCAAATTTTAAATTAATTTGAAAAACCTAAATATTAAAGTCCTAATTATAAGAACTTCTTACTCAATTCTAATAAGTAATAAATTTGATTAAATGTAACAACCCGACTTGTCGTTTTAAGAATTTAAGCCCCGTCTGGTGGCATAAGGCCCTGAGCAGCTTCTTATTATGTGTATTGACTTGCGTGCGTGGTTTAATTCAGTTATCGGATGTTTCTGAGTGATTTGGGACACTTGGTCCCCAAGACGGAAGTCTTAGGATTTTTACCGTAGTCGGAACTGTGCGAAGACGACTCCAGAATGGAATTTTGACGATGTCAATAGCTCTGTATGGTGATTATGGACTTAGGAGCATGTCCGAAAAATTATTTGGAGGTCTGTAGAGGAATTTGGCTTGAAATGGCGAAAGATGAATTTTTGAAAAGTTTGACCGGGGGAGTTGACTTTTTGATATCGGGGCCGGAATTCGATTCTGGAAATTGGAATAGCTTCATTATGTCAATTATGACTTGTGTGCAAAATTTGAAGTCATTCCAGAATGATTTGATGTGTTTCGGCACAAGATATAGAATTTAAAATTTCAAAGTTCATTAGTCTTGAATTGGGTATGATTCGTGGCTTTGATATTATTTGAGACCTCGAGCAGGTTCGTGTTATGTATTGGGACTGGTTGGTACGATTGGACGGGGTCCCGGGGGCCTCCGGTTTGATTCGGGGTAGTTTTGAACCAAGTTTGGGTGTTTAGATGCTGCTAGTTGCTGGTTATGGTATTGTTCTTCGCGTTCGCTAGTAGCCTCTCGCGTTCGGGAAGAAGGATTTTGCTGTTAGGACTTTGTTCTTCGCGTTCGCGAAGAAGGAAATTTTGTTGTTCGTTGTTTGATTTTAGAGGCTTATATCTCACAATATACAAGGAATTTGGAGATTATCCAAAAATAAAAATTGTAGCCCTTTGTGTCTAGTATTCAGAAAGGTAAACCATTTTTCGATTGGAGTTGTGTACAAAAAGTTATGGTAGATATACTATAGGCTGTCCGAAAAGAGTTGGGAAATCTCTGTTGCATAGGGCTTATTTTAGAAGCTTATATCTCATAATCTATAAGGAATTGGGAGATGAGCAACAAATAAAGGTTATAGCTCTTGGAGTCTAGTTTTCAGAAAATCAAACCATTTATCATTTGGAGTTTTGTACAAAACGTTATGATAATTATATTATAGACTGTTTGAGAAGAGTTTGAAAATGACTTTTGAAGAATTTGTTCATCGCGAACGCGAAGAACAAACCCCTGGGCAGCAGAATAAAGTCCAATTTCGTGTCATTCTTCCATTTTTAGACCAAGGAAGCTCGGGCGAGGCGATTTTTCGAGAGTTTTTCAAGGAAAATATTGGGGTAAGAATTCCTAACTTGATTTTGGTTAAATTACATGAATCTATTGTTGTTTTTATCACTGAATTAGTGAATTGTGTTGAAAAATTTAGAAAACCCTCTTGGTTTAAATTTAAGATTTGGAGGCCGATTTTTTATTGGAATTCGATAAAATTAGTATGGTTGAACTCGTATCGGAATGGGTGTTCATATTTTATGAAAATTATGTCGGGTTCCGAGAAGCGAGTCCCGCATTGACTTTTGTTGAGTTTTTTGGAATAAAATTTTAAGTCGATGTATTATTATCCGGAATTATTTTCGATGAATTTTAATGAAGTTGTATAATTAAATTGGATAGATTTGAGTTGTCCGGAGGTCAATTCAAGCAAGAAGGCAATTTTGGAATATCGGCATAACTTCAAAAAGGTAAGTGTCTTGCCTAACCTCGAGTGGGGGAATTACCCCTTAGGCATCGAGTCTTATGTGCCATTTGTGAAATGTGAAAAACCGTGTACATGAGATGACGAGTACGTACTCGGGCTTATATGTGCAAATTTTATTGAGTTAGAGTCTTGGGCATATTGTGCAGTAAATTGGATAATTGTTGGCATTTATTTAGTCATCTGTTTGCCATGCTTCAATTCGCATTTATTGAATTTATTTTTATATGACGATTTGATGTGTATGTTACCTGTATATTTATGTGAATTCCGTGAGTTTGATATTCATGAGATTTAATTTCATTATGGATTTTTTCTCTGCAAATAATTAATTAAATGAACTTAAGAAGAGGTGTTAATATAATTATCTAAATTTGGATTTAATGAAGGTGTGCCCTATGTTGATTATTTTTCTATCTCTATTGCTTGTTTTTGGGTGTTATATACATTGTGTGGAGCCTTGGGCTATTTGTTGTAAAATTAATTGATTTTGTTATATCTTTAGAATTTGGTTGTGGCCATTAGGCAAATTGTGGTATGAATTGATTTTATTATATTGTCGTGTTAATTTTTCGTGTAAATTGTTGTGTTGTGTGAATCATTATTTTGGGGAGATAAGGGTGGCATTTCACTGTTGTTGTATTTGTTGGAATATTTTCTGGGCGGAGCGATAAGGGTGGCTATAGGAGCGATAAGGGTGGCAATAGGAACGATAAGGATGACTATTGATATTGTCTGGGCGGAGCGATAAATGTGGCTATAGGAGTGATAAGGGTGTCAATAGGAGCGATAAGGTGTAACGACCCGGCCGGTCGTTTTGATTATTGCAATCCCGTTCTCCCATTTACTGCTCAAATTATGAATTACAGTTGTTATTTGGCTTGTCGAGGTAATTGGTTTGGGTTCGGTGAGGCTTTGAAATGATTTAGAGCATTTAGTTCCAAGGTTTAGAATTTAAGTTGAAAAGGTTGACCGGATGTTAACTTATGTATAACGACCTCGGAGAAAATTTGCTAAGAAAATTTTGCTAAGGTATGTGTAACGACCTCAGAGAATTATATTAAAAATATTTTTTTGGAAGGATTTTTACTTAGAAAGTATTATAGGAAAGAATTGTATTGGAAAGATATTTATTTGAGGAAATTATATTTGAAAATATTTATTGAAAGAATTATATTTGAAAAATAATTATTTGAGAAAATTATGTTTGAAAGAGAATTATTTGGAAGAATTATATGTGAAGGACATTTATTTGAAGGAAATGATTTAATTGGGTGTAATTGTACTTATTAATTGTTGAGCGATATTAATGGTATTCTTGCCGTCTGCTGTGCTTATCACTGGTTGTTTCATGTTGCCCTATTGTTATTTGTTTCCTATTATTTTGTATATTATATTGCACTGGTTATTAGACTAGTGAGTGTCTTGACTGTACCTTGTCTCTACTCCATTGAGGTTAGTCTTGAAACTTACTGGCTACCGACCGTGACGTACTCATACTACACTTCTGCACATTTTTGTGCAGAGCCAGGTATTGAAGATAA